TGAGTGAATGAGTGATTGAGTGAGTGAGAGAATGACGAAAGGAGGGAGGTAGAGAGGGAGTAAGTGAGTGACTTAACGAGTGAGTGGATAGGTGAGTGAGTAAGTGAGTGAGTAAGTGAGTGAAAGAGTGATTGAGTTAGTGAGAGAGTGACGAAAGGAGGGAGGTAGAGAGGGAGTAAGTGAGTGACTTAACGAGTGAGTGGATAGGTGAGTGAGTAAGTGAGTGAGTAAGTGAGTGAAAGAGTGATTGAGTGAGTGAGTGAGTAAGTGAGTGAGTGAGTGAGTGAATGAGCTAGTGGTTGCAGGTGCTAAACACAAAGTGTCTAACACAAGAGGGGGGGGGGACAAAACAAGTTTATGTGGACCAAGAGGTGAAGAGAAGACGCTGGCGTTGGACACGCGCTGAAGAAACCTGAGAACAATATAACTAGAATGTTTTTGCACTGGAACCCACAGGGGCATAGAAATAAAGGTAGGACACCCATCCTTTTTTCCTCCCCCAACACCCCCCCCCCCCCATCCCCCCTCAAAAAAAAAACGTAGAAGGGATCTAGAGAGAGGCTAAATAATGGAGAGGACATCGTGAGAGCTGCGAATAGCGAAGGATAGAACGACTTCGTGAGTTGGTTGAGGACAGGGCGTATGCTCCCCTGGGAGTTAAAAAGACAGAAAAAGACAGCTGGAAAGGGGCGAGAGGCAGAGGAAGACCAACAGAGATGATGATGATGTGCAGTCTAGCATTATAGTGAGAAAAATGATCAGCGGTAGACGACACAGAGAGCTGTCAACAGACATCGTATAGATTATATATCATGATCGCCTTGCAGCATGCACTATTAGATGGCTCGACTCTATCCCTGCGCCACTTCAAAACTCACCGTTAACCATGGATTGGTTTCTGGGTTATTCAAAAACCCATGTGTGATAAACTTGGTGGGTCGGGCTCCAAAGTGGGTCCAAGCTGTGGCAAGATCCTGCAGGTGTCTGGCGTCCAGCCCTTGTGGGGATGTCTTATAGGTTCGTGTGTAGAGCAGGAAGTCGGTTCTAGGTCACATAGAACATGTCACTAGAAGGTCCACTTTTTAAATCTATTTAGCATTGATTTATGTACTGTTTTACTGAGGCATGATCAGCAACGCCATTGGATAAGTTCGTCATCGCTTTACAACCCTCTCCCCCCCTCTAGTTCACCAGATATATATATATATATATATATATATATATATATATATATATATATATATATATATACATATACATAAAGTGACTTCCCCAATGGTGTGGGCGATCATACCTCTCCAGATCTTGCTATCTACAAATACCATATCTCCGTTTTTTTGCTGACACCTCTCCCTGACACAACAAAATGTTGTCAAGAATGTTATCTCAGTGTGTTCCTCTCCCTGTCTCTCTTTCTGTTGACGTCAACTCTTCATTGGTTTCTGAAGAAGGCGTCGGAGCAAGTTTGAGGGTTTCCCCAGTGAGTGCCATTTCTTGATTGATTGATTGATCGATTCATTCATTCATTCATCCATCTCATTTTCCACAAATCTTCGTTGCTGCCACAGGAGCTTTTTTTTCTGTTTTCGTATTGTGTTTAAAAAAAAAAAATTAAGTTGATGTTTGTCATAAGCTCTCTTCGTGACGTGGCATTTAAAAAAAAAACACCTCTAGATTACTCATTTTACAAATTCTAGTATTTTAAGCATTCATCTATAAAACCACATCCTCTGTAAAGCCATATCTTCAGTAAAAATGACATCTACACACACACACACACACACACACACACACAGACGCACAGATTTACAAATGACAACTGATATGTAGACACAGCCGACAACTTACTGAACGACATCTGGCGACTCCGGCACTACAGAAAGCGGTCTCTCCGGTGAAGTAAAAGGAGCATCAGTGTTGAAACATCCCAGGGTGCCGTAGCAAGTCGAGCTTCCTAGTACGAATAAAAAAAAAAAACATTGATGATGAACGAACGAACGAACTTTACGTGGTAGGAGCAGGAGGGGAAAAGGGAGTAAGGGCTGGAAGAGGTGATATGTTCGTCATATTTCTACGGTGACAAGCCAAGAACACCTAATTAATTTGTGTTTTTGGCTTTTTGGTTATGAGTCGGTGTTGCGAAACAAGAAAATGTAGTTTTGGTGTTCTGTTAGTCGCTGGTGACTCTTAGACGCGACGTGTGGGCATGGAATGTCACGAGGTAGAAAAGATATTTTGTTTCATGGTAAGTTTCACTTGTTTGTTTGTGTAGGCACGATGTTAAGTGATTCATTGTTATTTGTCAATTACGTAAGTTTTTGTGTTCAGTAAATTAAATATATGTTTAATGTGATAACTATAGTTTCATTTGCTTGATTTGGATTAGAACTTCTTGTTAGTGTACCGAGTTTACTACTACCGCTGTCTAGACTGTATAAAAAAATATCATGTCAAGGCTAGAATATTTATGTTTCTAGTTCCCGCCTAACGAAATTTTTTTTTTTTTCTTGGTACTTAGGCTTTCGCTTCTAGTACATAACTTTAACTAGAAAAATAGGTCGCTGTCGTCGATGATAAAGGCAATGATAATGATGATGTTGACGATATGAATGATGATAACGATACTGAGGATAACGATAATGATAATGTTATCGATAATGATGACGATAACGTTTATGAGAAAGGTGAAAACAGGCATGCGTTGTGTAGAATGACAAGCATCACTTTAGAGGTCCCAGGTAGTTTGCATTTTGTGGATATTTTCTCTAGGTTATGACGGTGTGTTGAGAAATGAGCAGGCAGATAGAGTGGCTGGCTCTGCACCACGCTCAACACTTAGGGAAGGATTAGACGGATATACAATTAGACGGTTTCTAGTACCATCGGAATTGGAACTCTTTGATTGCTTCTGAAAATGGGGATTAAGCGCTTATGGGAGTATTTTGAGTGCTGTGATGTCGATTCCTAATCCATCATTCAACATTCGACCTGTAAATTGTTTATCTGGGTTCTGATATTTTCTAAATATCTAATTCTTAAAAATTCGTCTACAATATTTATGTTCGAATTTTACGAATGTAACTTTATGTACAATCTTATAAATCGACTGACATCGTCTGGCGCTTTTGGTGATTCTTGGGTACTTACTTCTAACAACATTGTTGGCGGTGTCTGCACTGAAAGACTTCATCTCTCCAGCTCCAAGCATCATCATTAACAGCAACAGTACGGCCATGTTGTCCACAGTAGGAGATAGCAAGATGTGTGTCCTCCAGCGCTAACCCGACCTGAACCAAGAATAACCCGGGATGTCACGAAATTGTTCTGTTTTGAGTTCTTTTATAAGTGCAGAATGTCTGCAACACGTTTAAGTCATGAACTCAATAGATAAGCTGGTAAATGCAGTACGAGTCGACTGGTATGTGTCCAGCGGCGGCTTCAAAATATGGCTAAATGGAGAAACTATGTCTCAGATTTCTGCATACGACACATATTCATATTGTCTAAACCTTTACAAATATCTATCAGATACAACTGTTTGATGAAGCTGACATTCTTTAATATAATTATATTAATCGCCTGTGAACTGCAGATTCAGGAAATGGCGAGTGGCCTGTTGCCACCAGAGAAATGGTGGTGCTTTATGCGCAGTGTGTGCATCCACTGATAGGTTGCAACTGCTGCTTCCATCGACGACGAACTGCCTTTCAAGTGCCGGCCTGTTTGTGTTAGCACTTCTGACAGCTGGCTATGCATTTGGTGCTTGTGTATGCGACTGTCTTTGTTGAGATGGCAGTCTGTATAATTCTCTCTCTCTCTCTCTCTCTCTCTCTTCTCTCTCTCTCTCTCTCTCTCCCCCCCCCCCCCCCCCACAAAGTTACAGTGATGGACATTTTGTGTGGTTGTCGTTGACACAGGAACTGAGCAACTATGGGATGTCATTTTGCAGTGGAGTAGAAACTGCAATTACCTGGGTACTTGATTACTCAGTTCCTCAATCAAACATGTGTTACAAAATCCATCTCAAAAACTTACAATCTTTCGTCTGCTTCTGCATCTAGGAAAAGCATAACGATAACTCATAACTCCTTACATACACTGTATATGCCTTCTCCCCTGCTCTAGGCGCCATGCATGTCCCTCGTGATTCACAAAAGTACAAACTAAGCATCCTCCCTTCCTCTTCCCCTTCCTCCAAATACGACCACCAAGCCACCAGTAACTATCTAATACGCTCACAATTGTTTTAGAAAGGGACATCTGTGTGGCAGAAAGAGACGCTGATTAAAAAAAAGTATATTGTTTGATTTCTATCTGCTACAATGTTCTGTTGGCTTAGATTTCCGTGTTAGCGTTTCAGTGTGTTGTAAGTGACCTGAGTTTCTTATCTATTTCGTGACCAGTCAGTCGATTTGTGGTGTTTTATATGGAAGCTGTGGTTCATTGGACAATGATGAGAACACTATGGGGAGATAACAAGAGTAATGAAGATGCCTTGAAATAGATCAACCCACTTGGAGAATTTATAAGCAGCAACAGCAGGGGACAGTCTTGATTTTGTAAGCACGTTATAAAAAAAAGGGGGGGGGGGGGGTGGAAACTTGGAGCACGCAGTGACAACGGGAAAGTTGGAAGGGAAAAGAGGCAAAGAGAAACTAAGAGAGCAAATGGTAATGAGTTTAAAAGCATGACATGGATGAAGATTTGAATCAGAAAAGACTGACTGTTCACGAGAAAGAAGGCAACATGTCTGCCAGCGCCACACGACTGCAACAAGGAGTACCTGAAAACACTTGATATTTTCCAATTCTTCCGATCTTGTTTGGTAAGTGGCCAAACGTCAGATTTGAAAACTGTCCTCTGACTGCCCTATCTTATATTACTGTGAAGACATTTACCTAAGTCAAGAACCCTTTTCAAGCCACTGGCCCATCTAGAATATTAGATTAGGTCCATATCTGTATAGATCGGTGGCCTCTAATTTGGGGGACGAGCCTAGAGGCGCTCAAGAAGGTTGCAAGGGGGCGTTGCAAGAGAGCGTCAAGCAATTTTGAAAGTAAGTGCATCTGTACTTGTAATAATCCATTATACTAACTTTGCTTTTACTTCAGTTTTAAATAACCCATATTTTTACAGACCATCAGCACTCTGTGGGTAATGTGGTCAGCATTACGCCGGCTGTCTTTACTTTCCCAGGACATCCCATCCTGGTACCCATTTTAGGCTGGGTCGATCTGCGACGTCCCATACCATGACAAAGATCCACGCAGCCTGCAGTGGGTTTCGATCGCGGTATGCTGGCTTACGAGTCGGACTCGCAACGCCTTAGCCACGGACGCCGCACATATATATATATATATTTATAAAACTATTTATCAAACAAAACGACAAGGACAGTTTTGTTTCCAAGAGCAGTTTGTACATGTATCGGTAAAAATCTAGGGAATATGAAATCACGCGAAATGACCTCTTTTTAAGGGTTTTGTTAATTTCACATAAGCTGACAAGAGTGGATAATATTATCACTGAAGTTTGGCTCTAGAAGTTCGTATTTCTTGCAATACAGTTAAATATAAAAGAAGTATGATATGACTGAATATTTATACTAAATTTCATACACAGAAAGGAAGTGTGGTACATCAAGCGCCATACTATTCAGTGCAAGGAATTCATGACAAGAGCAGAGAGATATACACATAAAAGTTAATCGAACAAGTAAAATATGGAATGATAACATCAGAGAAACTACACATCACGTGTTTATAGTCGCGGTTAGAAGAGCAAGGTGCAGAACCTCATATCTCCCTTGATTTAGAACTGGTCAAAGAAAAGTGGAGGAGGGAAAGAGCAGAATGTTATTGAACTAGAAGTAATTAATCAAGTAACAGAAAGTATTGTGATCGGCACTCATAGAAAGAAGTAGAAGTAATCTGTCATCATCATGTAGCAGGTCCTTTGCAGAACGTCGCTCTCATCACAGTCTGCCTGAAAATAATGCTTAGATAGTGTGGACAGTTTACATCTCCTTATAGTAATATTCAGACTGTGATAAATGTGTACATATTTTGTTAGTTAGATTATATAAAAGCTTCTAGGCAACAAAGAACAAACTCAGGTGTAATTGCTCACCACAAAGGACACAACTATAATAAGATAGCAAATAACCCGTCCCTGAAAAAGCAGGCCATCAGGCGGCTAAAAAAGGACTAAGCTTGGAATTTTTGTTTGATTTTATACGATACGATACACTAGCGCTCCTGTGTCATCGGGGTTTATGGCACCTCTCCATGAGTGATCCTCATCCGAATGATGGCACTTTGTGTCACCTGGTGTTTATTGCTTTGTTTGATGTCCTGGTGGGGTGAAACATCAGTCAGTCATTTTCAGTATGTCCCTCTGCGTGTGGCGACTGAGACACCAGTTGCGTGCTGGTTTACTAACCTTCTTTGACTGCCTGTGTAGTAGAACTTACAACCGTGAACGATCACCAGTCAGTCATCTCTTTCAGAGTAGAAATCGAAAGCAATGTCTATCATTGTCTGCTTTACTAAAGCTGTCATCTTCAGCAACAAGCACATAATTCCAGTGTACTGCAGCATTGTTTACTGACTAATTGACTCCTCTGTTCCTTGGCAGGCAAGATAAATAAACAGAGCAGTGTACTGCAGCATTGTTTACTGACTAATTGACTCCTCTGTTCCTTGGCAGGCAAGATAAATGAACAGAGCAGTGTACCACAGCACAGTTTACTGACTAATTAACTCCTCTGTTCCTTGGCAGGCAAGATGAATGAAGAAACTGTCAGTAATGGCCAGCTTGAAATCTATGAAACTCCAAGAAGCACCAGTGATGACGACATCATTGAGCTGACAGATGAGCTGGTACTGGACCCTTACAGTAATCCAGAGCAGCCAGTGATCATCACATTCAACGATGTCAGTGCAGCCGCTTATAAAATTAAGGGAGGCATTGAGAAGACCCCATGTAGTGTAAGTGTGAGACCCCTTGTAGTGTAAGTGTAAGACCCCTTGTAGTGTAAGTGTGAGACCCCTTGTAATGTAAGTGTAAGACCCCATGTAGTGTAAGTGTAAGACCCTATGTAGTGTAAGACCCCATGAAGTGGAAGTGGAAAACCCCATGTAGTGTAAGTGTAAAACCCCATGATGTGTAAGTGTGAGACCCCATGTAGTGTAAGACCCCGTGTAGTGTAAGAGTAAGACCCCATGTAGTTTAAGTGTAAGACCCCATGTAGTGTGAGTGTAAAACCCCATGTAGTGTAAGACCCCATGTAGTGTAAGTGTAAAACCCCATGTAGTGTAAATGTAAAACCCCATGTTGTGTAAGTGTGAGATCCCATGTAGTGTAAGACCCCATGTAGTGTAAGTGTAAGACCCCAGTGTAAAACACCATGTTGTGTAAGTGTGAGACCCCATGTAGTGTAAGACCCCATGTAGTGTAAGTGTAAGACCCCATATAGTGTAAGTGTAAAACCCCAGGTAGTGTAAGTGTAAGACCCCATGTAATGTTAATGTAAAACCCCAGGTAGTGTAAGTGTAAGACCCTATGTAGTGTAGGACCCCATGTAAAGTGTAAAGCCCCATGTAGTGTAAGTGTAAAACCCAATGTAGTGTAAGTGTAAGACCCCGTGTAGTGTAAGAGTAAGTCCCCATGTAGTTTAAGTGTAAGACCCTATGTATTGTGAGTGTAAAACCTCATGTAGTGTAAGTATAAGACCCCATATAGTGTAAGTGTAAGACCCCAGGTAGTTTAAGTGTGAAACCCCAGGTAGTGTAAGTGTAAGAGCCTATGTAGTGTAAGTGTAAGAGCCTATGTAGTGTAAGTGTAAGAGCCTATGTAGTGTAAGACCCCATGTAGTGTAAGTGTAAGAGCCTATGTAGTGTAAGACCCCATGTAGTGTAAGTGTAAAACCCCATGTAGTGTAAGTGTAAATCCCCATGTAGTGTAAGTGTAAAACCCAATGTAGTGTAAGTGTAAGGCCCCATGTAACATAAGTGTAAGACCCTATATAGTGTAAGTGTAAGACCCCATGTAGTGTCAGCCCCCATGTAACCATGTAGTTGTAAGTGTAAGGACCCCATGTAGTGTAAGTAGACGTAATGGACCACCCATGTAGGTAAGTGAAGACCAGATAGTATGTAAGGGTAAAGTGTAAGACCATATGTAGTGTAAGTGTAAGACCCCATGCAGTGTAAGTGTCAGCCCCATGTAGTGTAAGTGTAAGACAATATGTAGTGTAAGTGTAAGACCATATGTAGTGTAAGTGTAAGACCCCATGTAGTGTAAGTGTAAGACCATATGTAGTGTAAGTGTAAGACCCCATCCAGTGTAAGTGTCAGCTTCCATGTAGTGTAAGTGTAAGACCATATGTAGTGTAAGTGTAAGACCATATGTAGTGTAAGTGTAAGACCATATGTAGTGTAAGTGTAAGACCATATGTAGTGTAAGTGTAAGACCATATGTAGTGTAAATGTAAGACCATATGTAGTGTAAGTGTAAGACCATATGTAGTGTAAGTGTAAGACCATATGTAGTGTAAGTGTAAGACCATATGTAGTGTAAGTGTAAGACCATATGTAGTGTAAGTGTAAGACCATATGTAGTGTAAGTGTAAGACCATATGTAGTGTAAGTGTAAGACCCCATGCAGTGTAAGTGTCAGCCCCCATGTAGTGTAAGTGTAAGACTCCATGTAGTGTAAATTTAAGACCCCAGGTAGTGTAAGTGTAGGACCCCAGGTATTGTAAGTGTAAGACCCCATGTAGTGTAAGTGTAAGACCCCAGGTAGTGTAAGACCCCAGGTACTGCAAGTGTGGGACCCCAGGTATTGTAAGTGTAAGGCCCCAGGTAGTGTAAGTGTAAGGCCCCAGGTAGTGTAAGTGTAAGGCCCCAGGTAGTGTAAGTGTAAGGCCCAAGGTAGTGTAAGTGTAAGAGCCCAGGTAGTGTAAGTGTAAGGCCCCAGGTAGTGTAAGTGTAAGGCCCAAGGTAGTGTAAGTGTACGGCCCCAGGTAGTGTAAGTGTAAGGCCCCAGGTAGTGTAAGTGTAAGGCCCCAGGTATTGTAAGTGTAAGACCCCAGGTATTGTAAGTGTAAGGCCCCAGGTAGTGTAAGTGTAAGGCCCCAGGTATTGTAAGTGTAAGACCCCAGGTATTGTAAGTGTAAGGCCCCAGGTATGTAAGTGTAAGGCCCGCAAGGTAGTGTTAAGTGTACGGCCCCAGGTAGTGTAATGTGTAAGGCCCCAGGTAGTGTAAGTGTAAGGCCCCAGGTATTGTAAGTGTAAGACCCCAGGTATTGTAAGTGTAAGGCCCCAGGTAGTGTAAGTGTAAGGCCCCAGGTAGTGTAAGTGTAAGGCCCCAGGTAGTGTAAGTGTAAGGCCCAAGGTAGTGTAAGTGTAAGGGCCTAGGTAGTGTAAGTGTAAGGCCCCAGGTAGTGTAAGTGTAAGGCCCAAGGTAGTGTAAGTGTACGGCCCCAGGTAGTGTAAGTGTAAGGCCCCAGGTAGTGTAAGTGTAAGACCCCAGGTACTGTAAGTGTAAGACCCCAGGTAGTGTAAGTGTAAGACCCCAGGTAGTGTAAGACCCCAGGTACTGCAAGTGAAATCCCCAGGTAGGGTAAGTGTAAGGCCCCTTGTAGTCTAAGTGTGAGACCCCATGTAGTATAAGTGAAACACCCCTTGTAGTGTAAGTGTAAGACCTCTTGCAGTGTAAGTGTAAGACCTCTTGTAGTGTAAGTGTACGACCTCTTGTAGTGTAAGTGTAAGACACGTTGTAGTGTAAGTGTACGACCTCTTGTAGTGTAAGTGTAAGACACGTTGTACTGTAAGTGTAAGACACGTTGTAGTGTAAGTGTAAGACACGTTGTAGTGTAAGTGCAAGACCCTAAGTAGTGTTTTTTCTTTTTTAAATTCTTCCTTGTTTGTTGCAACAGAGCTTTTGGTTGTATGGTGTTCAGAATATTTGTGTATTGTCTCTAGTTTTTAGTGGCTTGTCCTAGGAGACAGCATTGTCTTTTATTCTTTAAAGCTTACTGTACATTAAATAAAAGGTATTTGTTGGTAAAAGACTAAGCAAAACAGTAAAGTAATTACATATTTCAGGTAGAGAAGAGAATATGAAACAAAACAGTTAAGTGGCTGCATCATCCAGTGTAGATAGAAAAAGAAATACTAAACAGAACAAAAAAGTAGTTACGTAGTTAATAGTATAAGTGGGTGGTTGCGTAGCAGTCAAGTATTTGCCTAGTCCATGTAAGACGAATATGTCTTTAACAATACATTAAAGTTCTTCCACATTGGAATAGAAGATAACATAATGTGAGTAACTCCCTCGCTAACTGCGAATAGAAGATAACATAATTTGAGTAACTCCCTCGCTAACTGGCATGAAGGATCATGCTTTTCCATATCTTATGATTTCCAAAGACATTCATGAACTGACCAGTTGATCTTACTATTTGTTGAATTTTCAGTTGTCGCAGATGTCCAGACAGTATGACATGAACCTTTATTTCAAGAAGGATTTTCTTCAGTTCACTGGAAGGTTTGCCTTCTTTTCTTTTGCATACCTGAAGATATTTACAGACAGAAAGCACCTAGACACACTCACATTAAGATACCATCCACTTTCTCAACACACACGCACGCACACACACACATACTTCTTCTTCTTCTTCTTTTCCACCAGCGAGGTGTTGAGGAAAGATGTAAAGATCATTTAGATGCTTTTTCCAATGCTTTGTACAAGTTGGTATGCATTTCTGTTAGGTTGCTCCCGATGATGTCGCTCCATCTCTTGCGTGGTCTTTTTCTGTGTTCATTATATTTCTTCAGTGTGGCTCTCTGTGGCACTTGGTACCAGGGCATTTTCGCCAGGTGGCCAAACCATCTCATTTGTTGTTCTCCAATAAATTTTTTGACTCTTTACAGTCCTATTCTTATTTCTTCATTCTTGATTTTATCTCTTATTTTCACACCGGCAGCTGTTATAAGACATCTCATCTCTTTGTTAGATCTTCCGCTCATTAGTTGTATTGAAGGTCCATGTTTGGTACTGGTAGCACAATGTCTTCTTGTCCCACCGGCAGCTCTCCTAAGACATACAGTATATTTATATATATATATATATATGGAATCCATTCTAGAACCTTTGGCTTCTTTCATCAACATTCGTTTTAGGGTTTCACTTGGACGTCATCATTCCACAGTCCCTCTGATTTCCATTTCAATGCCTGTTTGGCGATTCCCTGCATGTGTTTTGTCAAGACTACAGCTCCTTAGATATTTCTCTTATTTCTATAGCCCTCATTGATTCTTCCCATTTTATGTTGACCACTTTCCTCAGGCATTTGTTGATTGCATTTGACTTTTGTTCCATGTCTGTAGTGGGCCTGTTGTCGTAAAGAGAAATTAATTTGATTCTGGCAAGATACAGATTTGTTGTTCTGAATATGCCTCAATATGCCAGTGGCTAAGAGTTGTTCTGTCTTTGTTATCTCAGTGTGTATCTGTTTGCCAAGATACCCCAAAGAGAGGTAATGCATAGTCGAGAAATGCAAAACACATACATATATTGATTACATTGGAGAGGTTGGACATAGTGTACAGCTTATCCTGAGTGGATATGCGTGCACACCAACGTGCATGCGTGTTCGTCAGTGCATTTGTAAGAGTCTGTATCTGTCTGTAGGGGAAGTGTGAGTGTGTGCATGTGTGCCTGTGTAAGTGAATGTATATTTGTATGAATATGTGTGAGTGTAAATGAGTGAGAGCCTGTGCAGATATGTCTGTGAGGGTTGATGTTGATGTAACTCTATAGTATCGCACCTGACGAGATGCCTGGCAGTAAATTATGCAAAGTTTTGTTTGTGTCCACATTATTTAAAAATTATGTATTTTTGCTTGAATATATGTCATGGCTTTAAACAAATCTCTCTTGTTTATCAGAATGGTGAGCTCTTCTTTCAGTTGTTGTGGTTAATTGTGAACTAATTATCCTCTATCGAACATCAGATAAATCCACAAGCGCGCTCGCCATAACATCTTTATAATATCCCTCTGCGTGTCGGTGAGTGATAACCACAGTTTTACTCTTCTTTATAGGGCAGTGAAAACCCTTGCTTGCCTTATTTTGGTACCAGAAAAAGAGCTAAATAGCTTCACTTGCGTGCATAGAGTTTAGTTGGCATATTTGCAAGAAACAATTCACAGAATCCAAAGTTATTGAAACAAGCTGCAGTCCACAAGTTTTCTTGGTGCTCAGTTTTGTTTGAGGTCTTAGATGGCGGGTTGACTAAAGAATGTAAGGACCTAATCCCCCAAAGGCCCCTCTATGGGGTGGGCTCCAAACCATTCCAGGGTGGTGCCCCCCCTTGAATGTATGGCTAGGGGCAAACCCCCCCCCCCCCCATAAACACACAAAAATTATTTGATGGATTATCTTTACGCACTTGGAAAACCCTTGGGGCTTGATTTCCCCTTTGAATTGACACGCATCCCTTGGTTTAAAATGCCAGTCCCGTTGTCTACAAGACTTTACACCTTGGGGGGCGATCTTTACTCCCGTTCTCGTATTTTTTGCAATGATGTGGATAGCTGTTCCAAAAATTTTCCTCTCTCTCTAAGGGCTTAACAATGTCGGGTGATCCATGGTGGGCCCTTGCGCTAGGGGAACCCCAGTTGTCAGGTCTTTCATTGCCAAACCCGAG